TCGCCCGCTATGAAAATCCTCTTGATCTTAATTTTAGAGGGGTTTTGAAGCAGCTGGATACTACGCAAGTTAAGATGTGTAAGTTATTTCGTATTTAATAATTCTTTGTTCGTTTCTTACATTGGAGATTTTGTTATACCTTTACAAATTAATATTTTTGAAATTATTTAATACCTTTTTGAAATAAACATGAAATAAAGATTGCTAACTTTCAGACGCAATCTCCCAATTTGCGCAGTGGCATGCTAAGTTAGAATTTCTATATTCATATTTCATTTTATTATTTATTATATTCATGTTATTTAATTTTAAATTGTATCTTTTAATTGTGTTCAATGTGAAAATAAGTATATGAGTGGTCATTGTTGGTTGTTGATACTCCTTTTTGTATCGCAGCTCAGGTAACAAGCTGATAGTGACGGCTGCATTACGTTCGCGGTAATAAAAACGAATACTTTTGTATATTTGTGGAATATTGTGTTTAATAATTACTATTATAGATATATTTCGATCTTTTTATTAAAATGTCTTATCCCCAAAAATTAAAATGTCGTATCTCCGGAACGGCACAATTAGATCTTACTCTAACATTCCTAAAATTTACCAGTTTCAGTTAAAAAACTTCTAATGTGACTTCTAATGTGACATCTTTAATAAAGCGCTAATAGAACTTAATCCAAACGTATGTGCAGAGTTGCTACTTGACATAATTATAAACACGGATTTTACGACCGAAAATTTAAAATCGTATTCATTGTATTGAGGTAATTCCAAAAGTAAAAATGTTTTCTTCAGTATCTGTGAACTCTAAAATGTTTGCGTTAAAGCGATTAAATCGCAAGATAAATTTTCAGATATTTACGTATGCTAAAAAGTAAAAAGGAGCAATTCCAGACTTATCATATTAAGTAGTATGAACCAGTTTCTTTTTATGTTAAACACAAGTTAAGATTTAGTTAGAAATACTGTCGATTTCACCAATACTCGTCCAATCTGTTTTGAAGATCGTCTTTTTTCACGAACGTCAATATATTAACGCGTCGTTACTCTTCACCAACACTTTTTGTTAGAAACGACGCTCTGTTGACGTTGACTTTGAAGAATCGTCAAGGAACTTGTGTTTGTTGATTTTTTCTCTTCGTACAGTTGTTGGTTACAATGTCAGATTATAAAGCGGATCTGCGTTGGCTGTTGAACGTGTGAACTACTGATGATGTGTTATCTTTCAAGTAGGTTGGCACATAATGAAAATAACAATTGTACATACTTGCGAAAAAATACATTTTTCGATTTCTGAATCACTCTAATTCATTTCCTCCGGAGACAAAATTGGCACATGTGTGTACGGTGCAGTCTATCCTCTCTGTATCTCCAGGAACGTTCACTATTCTAAAAAAAATCTCGCCTTACTAGTTAGGCTTCGGCATCCCTTGGAAATACCACATACTGTGGTCATAGAGAAGGATTTGAGAAAGAAATATTTTTATTTACGTAATCGGACTCTGTGGATGACAAAATTTCATTGCAATGGCCGGAGTAAATGTCCTGCAGCATAAAATCTTCAAGGTACAAACTGCTGGGCATGGGCGTTAGAGGCCAATTTCTGTTTGAGGGATATTCCAGACATTGTTTTGTTCTAAATTATTCCGAAACACCGCCTTCGGTATTCTCTCGTTACGAATTGAGGATCTTCCAATTAATAAAAAAGTATATATTTTAGAGTAATTGACTGTTCTGGGCCCATAGTATGTAAATACACAACATTTATGCAACTAAAGTTATATCCCATGATAACGCCACCCCCTATTTGGACAGCAAAAAAGTAAAATCACTAGATCAATAAAATACAACGCACGCGCTTGAATGACCCTAACCTCACAAGACCAGTTTAAGGAGTCGTTAAAGACGTGGATGGAGGGGTACCGGTCCATCAAAATTTTACGAATAATTTGACAATCGTCTGGCGAAACGACCTTGGTGAAACGTAAATGAGGCGTACGACGCTCCGTCAATGGTTCGACGTCGGGCAAAGCCACTCATCAGCGAAGGGGAAACCGTTCTGAATTGTGATCTTTTACGTCCTTGACACAAACTACTGTATCTGATTTATACCCTTATGAGGTGGATATAGTGGTGACATTAGGTTAAAAAATAGTTAATAATGTAGATTTTACCAATCTATTTTCAAATTTGTATTTGAACTTAACTTAGGAAATAAATTCTTGGATACGCTAAGAATAACTTAAATGTCTTTGAACATTAGTTACAATATTTATACTTATTTTGTTATTTTATTCATTGACATTATATTAAGTTCCTTGAATAATTGTTGAAAAGAATTCTCATAATGCATTTTTAAGAAAACAAAAACATTTTTTTATTCTTTGCTTAAAAAATAGAGCAATAAGTTTTTTAATTACATTCTGCTACACTAAACACCAAGTAAACGTGTCGCACTTTCTCCGGGTAAATCATCTCTTACACTGACAAAATGGATTTGAAGCACGTTTTTTTCCCAAAGGCTTGCCTCAAATTTATTTAAGACGATCTCTGCAGAGTGACTTGTAACGGCTGGATCTAGGTTGAAAGTCTCAGATGTATAAAACAGACACTAAACGGAGCGAGTAAGAAATGCAACTGAGTAAGAAATTTAACAAAGTTTTCTTCAGAAATGATTACGTCTGGGATGTTGTCACCATCCTGAGTGGCTGGGTCATGCGGGCCTCCCCAAAGAGATGGTACCGGCTGAGAAGAGACAGCGGCAGCGGCCGCAGCGTCTACAGTGGCAGTTACTGGCAGATACACGTGCTAGAGTGCGAGTCCTGACGTAGCGGATATTCGACACTAGCTTGACAGCCGCTTCTGAAGGAAAATTCTAACGGCCGGCTGAACTGATTGGTTCTTTAACATGGTTTCCATCAACACCAGGTCAAATGCTGGAGCAATGCACAACGAAACGGGCCACGGACCGCACGTGATCTTTCCTTCCTCTTCCTTGCCCGATCCTATTTACAAACGCACTTACATGCGTTACATCACCACACATGTCGCGAGATTCGAGATTGTCGCTGTTAAAGGTCTAGTCCGCTAGGGGGAGGTACGTGGAAGGGGAAATCCCTCGCAACCTGACGGTCGGCGGTAGATCTCACTAATTCACGGAGATGGAATCTTCACTTCTCATGACAAAACATGCACTACACGAGAAAGACCAATGACCATGACAGTTGACGGGTTCGGAAATCAATCAATCAATGAGCTCGTTACAGCGCATTGAGGCACGGAATTGCCCGTGGGGGCGATTCCATTCACCCCGTTACTTTGGTCTCACTTCCACAGATGGCTACAGCGTGGCCGTTTGAGCAACTTTTCCTCCAGATTTAGTACATTTTGGCTTGCTTTAGCGGAAAAAAATAGTCGAGATTAGTGTAAACGTTTGCGGATTTTACACGGAGGAAATAATTAAAATTCAAAAATGAACTCCAGTAGCTACCAAACTCAAATGCAGTTGTACGAATTTTCAGCCACATGAACTTTGTAAAAATTAACCACAGGAATGAAATGATGTCGCCAATTATTAGAGCTGCATTGACCGATCGATTTGATTTTCAAGACAATGGTAAAATTTGCCAAAATTCATGGCGACGGATTTAAATCAAATACCATCGATATTTGATTATAAACCCTTAATAAAATGTAAATATTAACCTTCTAATTTAAATATATCAGATAATGTATATAGATGTCTAATAGTATATTATGAATCGATATATTTTCAGTATTAAAACTCGAGTAAGAAGTTATATTACAATATAACGAAGAACGAGCGAATAACGAACGAAGCGAGGGTTAATTAGCATGAAGGAATGATGTCATCAAATTTCAGAATTTGTTCTTATTTCTTATCATCTTAATGCATGATACACTCCTCAGAGGGGATTCAGTATTTCGATTTTCTTCTGAGTTCCGGAAGGAGGAGAGATCACAATTATATACACAATCTAACAAAACATGCATAGAACGATGGTTATATAAAATTATTGATTACGATGTTTACAGCAAGTGTTATTTTTTCTTTTTTTCTTGTCAAGTTGATTATCAGCTCTCTAAAAACTAAACCATTACATTGAGATAATATATTATTGTAATATGAATTATTCATATTTTTGTACCATTTTGTAATATTTGTACTTAATAATGTGTTTCTTGTATCATTATGTAATGCGTGTACTTATATCATGTAATACCACCTTGTAATAAGTGATTACTTCATATATTGTGTCCCTTCAAACCATGTTGTCGCTCATGACCTAGAAGTTTATGCGACCCTAATAAATAAAGCGCAAAAATTACTGATTACTTATCAACCGTAAACTTCAAATAATTCTGCCCGGAAATAAGAGGTTTCGTTTGGTAGATTTTAGCGGCCATGCAAAAGGCATTTAGCGATGAAATTTTGAAACGAAACGGCAACTCCGCATTCGTCTCTTTGGCAAGCATAAGCACCCTTCTAATCAGGCCCCAGGAACGTGTTTGATGTACAACGCATGACCTCGCTGACAACTCGTGCGCGGCTGTCTCAAGCGGTTGCTCGACCTTCTGCAACTGGCTCGATGGACTACAGACGGACAGAAGTGCCTGAGCTGCGACGAGTAACCGCTCGTTATCGGGGAGAGCATACTCTTGCGCTTCGGAGTCGACGGCTGTTCAACAGCCCCGCACTCCATTCCCCGAAGCCGATTTCCCCCTGGCGCTGAGTATTGTCCATTCCCTACTCGACACAACTCAGCGCTGCGAGCAAACTTCTGCGCTCTCGCGCCCGGGTCGGCCTCGAAGCGGTCCGCGGAGCCAGGCCCTCTGATTCGTACCTTTCTTAAAGGTTACACAAACGTCGACGACAACATAAACCGCAAAAACAAACCAACGCTTCCTCGAAATTCGCGCAATGCATCGACAGAAACTGAGGCACGCTCGTGGTGATGTGGGGTCTGTTCGGTACTCACCAAAGCGTCATGACGACGTAGGGCGTCCAGCACCAGATGAAGGCGGCCACGATGGTGATGGTCATGCGCAGCGTGCGTGCGCGCGCCCTCTCGATGTTGCTCATGTCGCTTCTGCGCAGGCGCAGCCGCCCGCCCAGCCGCTCGTCGCCGCCGCCGCTGCCTCCGCCGCCCGCGCCGCGATCTGCAACGCACAGAACCAGGCGCCACTGTTTAAAGTCAGGTTCCTCAGGCGAGGAATCGAAGTGCCCCTTCGCCTGCAAATGACCGTTTATATTTAGGTTTAAATGCAGTGACTTCTGACTAAACATCAGCTGGAAGCGGACATCCAATCGGAAGGTTCGTTACGATTTAATTTCTGGAACTGAAACTCCCGATTAGATAACCACTAAGAGAAACTCACAGAACTGCAACGCATGTATCTACGCGCTGTAGCTTGTCAGGTGGAGTGATGGTTCGTCAGGAGAGGAAACCGAAGGGCCACTTCCCCTCCAAATGATCAATTATACTTCGATTTAAATAGAGTAACTCCTGACATCACCTGGAAGCGGTTATCAACTTGGGAGCTTCGTTGCGACTTAACGTTTTGGTATTGGCACTGCTGTTTGAATAACCGCTGATGATGCCAGAAAGCACACAATTTAAACCGGAGTGTAGGATAGGTGTGCTCAATTGGCGTTTGATAATGAGTAGTTCGAGCATTTGCCACCGCTCTGGCCGGCTCGTGAGCTGAGTGGGAAAGGAACTCTCGCCATGGGGGGGAGTGCATTTGAGGACAAAGGACAAACTCTCAAGCGCATGGGTACGCGAACAACCTTCAGAACGGATTGGTCAATACAATACACCCACGTTGGTATTTCGCAGTCAACGTTGATTTAAACCAAAACACATAAAAACGATTACTTATTCAAGCATCTAAAGAAAAATATCAAACTCGGTTAGAGTGCGAAAACATCAAATACGTTTGAACATATATTTAGACTTCTTAAAAACTCTTCACAATATTGGATTTCAAAATTTTTAACAGTAGTAAATTTCAAGAAAAATAACTTTTTCCGAAAACAAATACTTCTGAATTTTCCTGCAGTGCTAATCAACATTTTCTTCTATTTAGGTCTAAATTAGTCTGCATTAGTACACTGCATTAGCACATTTTTCATTCCGAATAAATGCAGGAATTTACACTTTCTACTCCGATGGGGGTTTTGTGATGCCGAATAACGAATAACTTTTCTCGCTTAATATTAACTAATATACGCTAGCCACGAACTCGCCACGAACGCTACTTCATGACGAGCGATGTGGCAATCGCTCTCCGGCTCTACCACCAGCACACGAGGCTCAGGGAACCAACTAAGGTCACTGCATGGGTTCTGACCGGGAGATTCTGGAGTTCCAGTCCTCACGGTGGCATTTCGATACTTACTACAGATGTATGTTGGATTTAGCCAGTCGGGAGGAAAATGCTAGCAGCCTTCTACTCTGATCGGTAGGTTCCCGTGGTTTCTTCGATCAACACCAGAGGAATACCGGAGCAGTACCATAGCTAAGGGGCCACGACAGTGCGCGATATTTCCTTTCTCTACCTGGTCTATCCTCATCCCTTCAACACACATACACTTATATGCACTACACTACCACCGGTTCGAGCTTATCCCGGCTGGGGAGGGGAGGTATTCCCCGATGGTGGGAAATACCTGGTAGAGGAAAATCCCTTCAAGTCGACGTAGGTCAGCGCCGGATCTCACCAACCAACGGGGGAAGATCACCTTCATGTCTCACGCAGTACTACACTTACGGGAATATTAATATTATCTGCTGACTCGCACAGAATCATTACTCAATCAATGATCGCCTGATCGCCTCTCGCCTGATCCTCCTTCCTCAAGGTGCCGGCCCAGCGGAGCAATGGGGGAAGGATGCATGGTCTGTGTGGGGGGAGGGGCTAATGAGCATGGACTTTTTAACAAACATTTCGTGTTTTTTGGCACAATTGTTATGGTGATTAGTCACGAAGGGCATGTTTGTCCTTGTATAACTGACGTTGGCAATGACCTTCTCAAGCTTAATGGCGGGATCCGGCGCCGACATACACGCCAGCTAACGGGGTTTCCCCAACAAGGTATCTCCCACCAGCGATCGCCTTACCTGCTGGGACAATGTCTAAGCGTCCGACTCGTCTCTCGATTGGGAGATTGATTCTTACGTAACTGTCTCCAAAACCAAACAATGATATTTTGCATCAGAAATTATTTTTTGACAAGCAATTATAGAAAACATTTACTATTGATGTTAAGATATAGAAAAATACTCTATTGCGAGTGTTGAACATACGTACCGAGATTAATCACTCCGATGTAACTGCTCGAAACCAGGAACTCTTGATTTTGTGTCATGATGTAATGCAGGTATAGCTGAATCCGAATGCGACAGTAATCAATAAATGTTAATGTATTTAATACAAGTGTAAATTTCTTTGGGTCTGTTTTAAAACACAAACTTGACCGTTTTGTTACAAAAAAATCAAAAGGCCAAAACAATCCAATATAGTTTACTTCATGAAAAACCACAAATAAGTTAGAACAATTGAAATTAAACGATACAAATTATCTTGTCCATTACTTAATTGGCTAGAAACTATTAAATTCATTCTGCCGGCTATTGAGAAAATAATTCAGACAATAAAGGCATTCCTGCAAAAATAATTTGCATAGAATCACAAGAACGGGTACAGCCTTAATAAATTTTACTTTCTCGCCTTTTTTCGTACTTACGTAGTAATGAAGAGATATTGTAATACTGAAAAAAATGACAGGAATAGTCAAATTTTGGGGCCCTAGAAGAGAAAAAAAATGAATATATCTTGTATACTAATACAATGAGAAATATCTAATAAAATGCTTTATCACTCACTCTATTGTTATTTTAACTGACATTTTATTGTTAACTGACGGGTTATTTTCAACAGCAGGGTAGTCAAAATTCGACTGAGGGACCACGTCAAATGAATAAATTTCTCCTGTCTAAACAGATGGAGTCAGCTGAATTGTACATAACTTTTCAGAAAACGTGAAAGATATTTTTCATACCTGAAAGGCTTCATACCTATTAAACATTAAATCACGAATTTATTTATTTGCGATTTCCCTTAAGATGTAATAGTAACCAAAACTGTATACACCTAAAAGAAACAACTATAAAACGTGGTCAGGAACTAATAACATCACTAATTAAATGTACTATATTCGTTACCAAAAAAGTTTTTTCTATATTTCTATAAATCAATAATACACTATCAACATGTGAGAAAGCGATCTTCCTAAACTAGTAAATCTGAATTTTCAAAAACATTTTTCTGAACAACGTGATGACTGTACGGTCGTTTTTAATTCCGACCGTACTATGCTGGTTTACTAAAAATTTCTGGAAAGTCTTTTGCCCCGTAAACCTTCCTCTTCGCTTGCTTGACCTCAGTGCTCTGATATGCATAGGCCGCCCTCCCAAATTTACATCTAAGAGACCCGAGGCAACACGCCTACGGGCGATACCTCGATTATCAAATGCAATGCACCAGCGCTGCTCACGATCGGGCGAAGCTAATGAAATCACGGAGCCATTGCGAATCGCACCCGCGCAGGCACACGTGCGACTGCGTGCCGCGCGTAGCGTTGCCATGACTAATGACTGAGCACTCCCGACGTCAGTTTTGAGATTAATGCAGGAACGACGGATGTAATGTGACGGAAAATACAAGACGAGGTACATATTCTAATTCGCTAATTTTATTTTCGTTATTCTTTCGTGAGTAATATTGTAAAACAAGGATATAAATAATATCAAAGTCGAACATCTTTAACTCGCGTGGATTAATTAAAATGAATTTGTTTGAAGCCTGCTAAACAATGAGAAATTAGTGTTGTTTCCTGAACAGTATCGTTTATTCTTGATCTCCATTTTTTGAAAAAATTGTACATGACCATATTCCAAAATCTATCTGTAAGAAAAATATTTTATTAAGGAGAAAACTATTTAACTTTAATATTTTATTTGTAACAAGACGCGGAATAAAATGTTGAATCTCTCTTTTTTTTAAATGAGAGTTTTAACTAACATGAGACCTGCGCCATTCGCTTGAATGACCTTCAGACTACACCAAAATTTAATCAAAATCGATGTCACCATTTGTTTTACAATTTCGGAAAATGTTCCAGGAGCTTCTTGTAAAGTACCCCTCAAAATTAAAATATCGATCTTAAATTCAAACCAGATCGTTTGGAGAATATCAATTTTGGAGAAAAAGCTAAAAGTTGCTAGAGGCTAGCGTTGTTTGCAGACGGACGGACAGATATGTTTTGCCTTAAATCGACTTTTTCATATCAAGGACCCACAAAACATGGATTCCGGTTACAGAATGTGTTAGAGAATACCCCCTCCCTAAATGTTGCAACTGGATTTATCCACTTTTGTGTTACTAGGGCCCTGAAATACTGGTTTTCTGCCGAAAATTCCCCATTATTTTGCACATCATTACACACCTTTCTCGTCTTAAAATGTTTTTTTCTTAATCGCGGGAAAGTAAAAACATCCTGAAATTGCGTCATATAATTTAAAAAAAAAAATGAGTGTGATGTATAATTTCGTGACAAATGTGTTAGTCCGCTGCGAATTGATTGCGCGTCATCTTCGGCGACTTTCTACAACTACAATTGTGAAAATAGTTTTTTCTTAATGAAATGTGTTTATCGGAAATAGATTTTGAAATAACGGCACGTTCAATTTTTTGAAAATATGGGTATTTTTTGTGTAATTTTGCGACAAATATATTCATATATTTTCCAATTTTACTGCGCTTCTTGAACTTAATTCCAGACAGTTGGATGCTTCATAAGTTATAATTTGTATACTATTATTTCATATTCATTTGTTATTCGACCTTTTGTTATACATTAACAGATAATTTTTTTTAGAAATAGTTTAAAACATTTTCGAAATGTATAAAATAAAAATTGCTAGATTTTAGGAAACATCAAATTGGAAATCAACAATGACTGGCCAATAATGGCTCGGGAGCTATTTTTGGGAATTACATACTCCTACGTACAAATTGTTTCTTACTAACTTAAAGAACAGACATTTTACTTTCATTTAAAGTATTTTTGGGAGTACTTCACCGTGGTCGATGTAACGAACATTTCATCTTAAAGTTTTATTTTCTTATGCTTCGGCCGTAATAAACTAACTTAATACTTCAAATCGCAGAATGTTAGTGATTTAATTAAGTTATTAGTATTAGAGTTATTTATCAACTGTGTATGACGTATTATGACTAATACATAAACAAGTTGAAATATGAACACGTAGAAAATTACCTTTTTGCTATTAATTGATATTTTTCATATTATCTAGGCTATCCGGGACGAGCCGCGTCACTGACATGGTGACTACCGTTTCGGCCAGCGTATTGTGGCCTTCTTCAGAGCGTACTGCTGAGGAAGGTCACAATATACTCAGCTGTACGCTCTGTGGAAGGCTACAATATACTGACCGAAACGTTAGTCAGTGACACGGCTCGCCCCGGATAGATAAAACCGCCTAGATAATATCACCTCCGGCCGCGGAAGCCTTCGCAAAAAATTGATATTCTTCGCCAAGCAAATGCACATAGTTTGGACAACGCTGGGCGAGCAACAATGCATTGCTCGCTTCTTGGTTGAATTGGACTTTTTCAAGTAACAGGCGAGGTGTTCGTAGTACAGAAAATGCAATATTTCAATATTACGTAGCTGTTTCCAATAACAGCTGTTGTTAACATTGACAGATATTAAAGTAAAGTTTCAACGGTTTATGAACAGGTCTGGCTGTCAGAGAACGCCGGAGTTTCCTAGAAGCGATTACGTAGGGCATTGGTTTCGAAATATTTTGTAAAGGACCGACAATCGGCAAGGAAGATATCGCTCATAAAAAAGTTAAGAAAATTTCTAATAATAAAATCCTTGAAGATGAAAATGTAAATGCTGTTGTAGATGAAGATGTAGCAAAACCCATACCATATGGACCATCAGTGCCCATTTCCCTTTGATTTAGCTGTCAAGAACCACTGCAACACGCGGTATGCGCCCTTCTGAGAATCGACGACAGCATGTCCTACGTGCTTCTGAAACCCCTTCAACCAAATAGCACGTAGACTGGATCGGTCATCCACACACAGGCCTTCCAAGAACTGCACGATAGTTGATCCCCCAGATTTACAAAAAGGCCGCTCCGAGGGCCTCGCTTTTTTGATTTTCACGGCCGAGTGATCGCGATTGACCAGTGGAGCACGCAAGTCAAAGAGCGTCCTGGCTCGGCCGGCAATTGCGCAAAGTCCATCCATACATCCAGCAGCCGCGGGTAGATTGCACGCAGTGACTGAGCGGACGCGAGCGACCGGCGACGGCAGAGCCCTCCCGCCGCCTCGGACGCGGTGAGTGCGCGACGTGACACGCGACCAGAGAAGGACGCATAGGAGAAGCCTGCAAAAGAGGAGGGGGCGCGGGAGAGAGGGCCATCACAAACAAGAGATACGGAGAATACGGCCCTTAAAGATGGGAGAGGGCTGTGAAGAAGAGGAAAATAACTGGAGAGGGAAGGCCGTAAAAGAGAGGACGGGGAACGGGAGAGAGGCCTTGAAGAAGAGGACGGGACATGGGAGAGAGGCCGTAAAGAAGAGGACGGGACATGGGGCGGGAGAGCCGTGAAGAGCAGAAAGAAACACGGAGAGAGAGAGGGCCGAAAAATAAGAGGAATCCACCACACACTAAGAGATGTTGAAGTAAGTTGTTTTAGTGTTTTAATTCGAAGAGCAATGAGAAAGATAATATTTGAAGATAAGCCTAATCCTGTTTCGCCCTCCGATTTACCTTAGATTACAAACAGTATAAATAGGTAGAACCTCATATTTCGAAATACTTTTACTACTTTCTCAGCGAAATATTTTGAGAGAGGGGGTGCCACACCGAGGAGCAGTATCGCATGAAATATTTTGTCATTATTGTGATATAAAACAATATTTCACCATTGTTATTTCCCCCACATTTGAATAGGGGAGTTGCAATGAAGGTTGTATGGTTTCATAAAATTACTTTCTGCATTATAACTTCATTCACACAAAAATTACTCATAAGTTCATGTACGAGATGTAATGTTCAATGTAAACTGCGACACACACACACACACACACACACACACACACACACACACACACACACACATATATATATATATATATATATATATATATATATATATATATATATATGTCTCTCTATTGGTATTGCGTCTCTCTATTGGTTGCGAAAGTCGACCGGGATTACTTCGTGAGAAGCATACTACGCATTTTTTTTGAATTCCAGCATTG